TGAGTGGAAGGAAGTAGAGGCAAATATAAACAATTGTTTCAAAAAGTTTTGCAATGAGAGGAAGCAGAGAGATGACAAGGTAATGGGTAGGATATGGGGAAGTCAAGAAAGGTTGTACATTTTATTTTAGCTTTTGGATGAGTAATAGTATGGTAGGTTTTTGAGGTGATGGTTATAATCCAGTAGAGGGAAGGGATAATAATGAAGGAAAGAGGAGATAACAACTGGACCTATGCCCCGGATGATGAATGAATAGAATTTTGTGCACAAGCAGAGTGATAGGTCTTTGCTAGGATAATGGACATTTATTAATTGTAAAAGAGGGTAACATACAAAAATTTGTAATAGGCTGAAATTTGTAATTGGCTGTATTATAATGATACTACTTCACAAATAAACTTAGATCAGTACCATGGACTTATCATATTTCAGAGAATGCCTCTTCCATTATTTATTTATTTATTTATTTTTAAAATTTATTTGACAGGCAGAGATCACAAGTAGGCAGAGAGGCAGGCAGAGAGAGAGAGAGAGAGAGAGAGAGAGTGAAGCAGGCTCCCTGCCCAGCAGAGAACCCAATGCAGGACTCGATCCCATGACCCCGAGATCATGACATGAGCCGAAGGCAGCTGCTTAACCCACTGAGCCACCCAGGCGCCCCCCATAATTCATTTTATCAATCCCCTCTTCTTGGACATGTATGTTGTTTCCAATTTTTCACTGTTAGAAACGATGACATGCCTCCTGATCTCCAGTACTCTGACTGTGTGCTGACTGCAGGTCACCCCAAATCAGTTCTCAATGTGTAGCATCCCTGCCCAGGCACAATCCCACCTCTGAGACTGGAACTCTGCTCTACATTCAAGATCCAGTGCATGGATGGCAAGAATTACTTGGTCCCCTACTAATCTTGTCATTTCCATCACCCTCAGCTTCCACCAGCCAGAGGGATGTGCCCATTCTGCGGCAGGTAGGACACAGGAGAGTTGAAACAGACACTGCTTCTCTCCCCTCTGGAATTCACAAGTGCTAAAAAATTTGGAAAGTGCCATGAGGCCATAGCCTCTAGCCCCAGAAGTTTTGAAAACATTTTTAGGCCTAGTTGTATGAAATATTTTCCTTTAAGAAACTGAGTTTTAGAGATGGAATATGTGAAGGCAGGGAAAACCTAATAGCTTGCTCTGAATTTCTCAGCAAAGCAAAAAGACAAGCTAAGAATTCCTCTCTGGCCTGTCTGACTCCAAGCATACCCTTCTCCTCCCTTTTCACTGCATGTGTCTCACAACCTCCCTCTCCCTGCCCCCATCACCAGTCTTTCCCAGGCTTTCCCAGACATAACAGCAAAGGAACCTCCCTCCTGGGATCCAAGTCCACTCTGAGCCAAAGCCTCAGGGGCTCTTTCAAGTCAAGGCCAGAGCCCTTCCAGCTTTATCCCCAATCTTTCCTTCATAAGCTCTGTGAAGCTACACAGGCCACTTCCTAGTCCCCTAATGTACCCTCCAATTTCCTGTCTCCTTTCCTTTCTTCATGTCCTTCTTGGTTCCATCTGCTGGGATCCTACACATTCTTTAAGGCCTGATTCATTTGTTACTTCCTCCAAGAAGGTTTTTTCAGTGTCATTAGCCTTCCCCACATCAGAACTCCTAGAGCACTATATCTGTTCTTGTCTTATGAGCCGTAACACTTACCATCTTGTTTGGTGGTTGTTTTTCATATATCTTATCTCTTCTTCCACCAGACTAGAAACTCACAGAAGGAAGGGATCATATCTCAATCACCTAAGTAACTCTTATACTCCTGCCCAATATCAGGCACAAAATAAGTCCTTGTCATAGTTTTTAAGGATGAATGAATGGGTGAATGAATTCCCTACCTATTTCTGGCTTGATAACTTTTTTGATTAATGTATTTTGTTTCACTTAAATTTTAGAACCTGTCCTTACTGGTGTGGTTATACAGAGGTATCCCTAAGTGCCTGGAAATTCTTCATACAATGTCCCTCTTCCATTTCTGTTGCTGTTAGCAGCCCTTTTCCTCCAGCCCACCCCCATCCTATCCTCTTAACGTTCTGACTCTAGGTGTCCCATAATTATCTCACTCAAACATTCCTAGCTGAGAAGTCAGGTAATAGGTACTTAAAATATAGTCTTTGCCAGGGGGATCTGAATTTTAATAGGACACTCCAGAGGCAGAAAGTATATAGGTTTCTAGTAATGAAATTTTAGACACTATGATGGAGATGGGGAGAAAGCCTGTCTAATTGCCTGCTTCCTGGCTGGTAAGAGTGGCCCTGTCTCCAGACCCCTGTGAGGGAGTAGGATTTAACATGAGGAGACCACATCACTACCTCCCACCCCTACCTTGACCCAGCAAATGAGGGCAGAACATCTCAGAGCTAATGTCTCTGCAGATAGATACCTTTGGCCATGCCACAGACCTCAGCTGGCATCTCCTTAGAGCTGCAGAGGTCACAGCCTCCAAAAGCAGTACCCTCAAGAGTTAAAGAATACTAGCTTGGCTCAGTCCCTGCTCTAACTGGATATCTAGAAGCCAAGAGCAGGGTTAGGGACCGTTTCCTGAGACCTAGTAAATAGGGCAGGCAGATACCCGTCTGCCCTCTGGACCCTGTCCCCAGAAGTAGGACCTCAAAGGGTCCTTCCTAGTTGAGTTTCCTGAGCTTGAGAGTGGGCAGGAAAAACAAGCTAGGAGACATGAGTTGCTCCTATCCTTAGCAACTGTGCCCCAGCCTATCCCCCGGGATGAAGTACCCCTTGCCTGAGTCAGCCTGGTCTTCCCTAGCATCACACTCTGGCAGTCAGGGTCCATCTTCTGAGCACTTGCTCTGCACTGATCTTTGGGTTCAGTAAGGCTTTAGGGGCTTCTTCACTTCAAGAAGGGCAGTAACTGCTAATGAACAGAATGCATGGGGCTGGATTCTAAATCTGATTCCATCATTACTAGCTATGTGACCTTGAACAAAAAAATTACTAGCTATGTGACCAACTTTCACTAGCCTTCACTTGCTATAAAATTATCCTAAAACAGTACTTATTTCACTGACTTAAGATAAGAAATGTAAGGCACCCAGTACAGTGCCTGGATTCATAATAGGAGTTCAAGTAATGTCAGCAGTTGTTAAGGAAATTACAGTCTGGCTCTGGGGACATTGAAAATGATACTTAGGCAACAGACACAGGGGAGAGAAGTGACATTCTTAACACTCATATACAACCACTAACATCCCACTTTTGGATCTGTACCCCTACCATTGTCCGTGAGAGCAGACACCAGCCACTGATGACTGCTGTTCTTCTGTCCTGGAATTTAAGACCCTCCAAAGCAAATTCTGATCTTGCCTTCAGTCTTCATCTCTCAACTCTCTTCCAACAACAGACACCTGGCCACACCTAACCACTTCCCCACTGTTATCTATCCTGTCCCTGAGTTCTTGGCTGTCAATGTTGCCACTAGCTCCAACGTCCTCCACATCAATCAAGCCTAAATCCTAAAGCCACCTCCTCCAGGAAGTCTCTCCAACTTCCTAAGTGGAATACAACTTGTCTTCCTTTTAGCTTCTACAGCACATTTAAGGTTAGTGAATCCAGAAGGCTCCCTATTTTGTCAAGATTTCTTTTGAAGAATAAGCACATCGAAGGCTTAACAAATTTTCTACCAAGATTAGAATACTCTGAATATAATGATACACTGACAAGGGACACAGGACACAATTAAGCCTCCCCTGCTTAGTCATCAGACTCTGGGCCACATGCTTTGTTCCCAACAGCAGGCGCAAGCCTTCAATGACTACTTCCAAGCTACCTATGGCTTTTCTTTTTCCTTCCCAATCCTTGGGGGAAGCAGAGATCCTTCTATCTAAACCTTAGATCACTATCTTTGCTGGCAGCCCGGATATATCCCGGCTGTCGTCACACCCAGCAGATGCTCCTCTCACTTTCCTGCTTTACTTTTCTGGCTGTAAAGCTGCTCCCAATACCTGCTTCATTTGCTGTCCATACCAGTCTCCATGCTCCTCAGATATTTTAAACATATTCCTCTGTCTTTGATACTTAGTCAACCCCAGAACCAGACATCCCTGGGCACCGCTCAGATCAAGCCCTGCATCCAGGCTACGTTCACCCCTGTAAAGCTCTCTGCCTTGGGCTTTTGTCAAAGGAAGCACAGGCAACTTATCTCGATGGCTCCAGTGGCAGCATTATTATCCCTACATCACTGCATATCTTCTATAAGAGCCCACATGAGATATTTCTTTAGAATTTACTGCTAAGAAAAGCTCTTCCGTCTTCCCTGAGGAACTTTCCATAATTCTCTCTGATCATAAAGATTATGTAACGGTTCATGCCCCAGTTTTGGTTTTTAGCTACCAGGAGCTTGGCAGCAGATTTGAGGCCCTGCTGAAGGAACTTGGCTTTCTGTACAATTCCAGGGCTCCTTCCTCTAGGGTTACCTCTTGATGTCTAGAATGGTTCAGCCTGTTCTGCTTGAGTTCTTTGATTATTTTACTTTGAGCTTCCTTGGGTGCAGGTTCCATCTGTTCTCTCCATCACTGGCAGGTTTTTAGCCATCCCAATAGAATGGTACCCCACACAAAGTTTTCCCATCTTCTCTACCGCCTTGCTCCTGGACCTTTTTTGTTCTTAAGTTCTGTTCTTCTGGAAGGCAGTGTTGGAGTTCAGGGAGTTCTAGTATTTCAGATAAAAAGAGAGAATTGTGAAGTTAGTTGCCTTTCCTCCTTTTAAAAGAAAAATCAGTTTTATTTTTATCAAATGTATACCTGACCATAGTTTAGAGGCAATAGGTCTGCCTGTTGTTTAAAAATAAATAAATAAAAATAAAGCCAGCAATTATCTACTTCATTATTCTTTCCCCAAAGGCAATTATCTTTACCTCTTTTAATGGATTCTTTTGGTATTTCTTTAGATAATGTGCTTATAGATTATTTATACCATTTATATTATGGTATATATGGTTTTTATTTCTAGGTATTGGCTTGCCACTGAGGAAGATGAGGATATAAATCTCACTGGGCACCACCACTACCACCAGCTCTCAGAAACCAACAGGAAATTTCGTGCCCCCCCACCCTCGCTATTCCAAGTCCTATTGTGATTTTAATTACATCACCTTCAGTTACATTATTATGATTATAAAAGCGTGTAGCTGAGCCATGTAATACGCAAAAATTACTTTTCCTTTCCAGCCCAACTTTTTATTTTTCCTGAATTTAATATATGTATTGTTTTACATTTGCCTGCTTTTTATGTACCTGATACTAATTCAACCCAAATCTGTCCTCCAGTTGTGTATCTCTCCTCAATACCTTCAAGCACCTTAAGGATCCTATTGTTTTCATCTTCTGAATGAAACCTCTCCCAGAGTCTTTTGAACTGCTCAAATCTAGATGGTCTTATCTCAAGATCTATGTAGCAGCAGTAGAAAGCCATAATAGCAAAGGGAAGAAACTGATATTTGAACCTGGTAAGAGCCATGGTACAAGGGTCAGCCAAAGAGAATCATGGTATTAGATGGAAGACAGCTTCTGACCAACTGAGGTCCAGCAGAGAGGAAGCATGGGGAATAAATATTATCACCTCAGTTTCTTCCTGCTGATCTCTTGCCAGCATCTCTAGTGGTCAAACCCACTTATAAATCCCCCAGCAAGTGAGCCCAGGTAATGTAGTATGGTAATGTAGATCAGTTTCCTGGGGCACCAAGAACAGACAGAAAATAGAACTGAAGAAGTAAACTAAGAATATCTAGCAAGCCATATCTTTCTATTTTGGTTTACTCTGTTATTTTGGTAGACCCCATTCTCCAGTAACTTGATGAAAAATGGCACATGAGAGATAAATTACGTAGGTGTTTATAAATCTTGAAAACACCTTTATGTCTCAAGCTAAATTGATAGTTTGGCTGGATATAGAATTCAAGGTTGAAAATAATTTTGCCTCTCTATTCTCTCGTCCTCTAGATTTCATCATTGTCAAGAAGTTTCCTGCCAGTCTAAGAGTTTATTCTTTATATAAAATCTGGAAGCTTTAGGGTACCTGGGCGGCTCAGTCCATTAGGTGTCTGCCTCCAGCTCAGTTCATGATCCCAGGGTGCTGGGATTGACCCCATGTTGGGCTTCCTCCTCATCAGGGAGTCTGCTTCTCTCTTTCCTTCTGCCCTCCCTGACACTTGTGTGCCCATGCTCTCTCTCCAAAATAAATAAATAAAATCTTTTTTTAAAAAGTCTGGAAGCTTACATGAATTCTTAGTTTTTCTACTTATGTTCTGAAATTCCAAAATGATGACTTTTGTATGGCTCTTTTTTCATTACTGAATACTGAACTTAGTTGATCTTTACCCTTTAGAACTTCTCTCTCTAAGTTTGGGGGAATTCCTTGAATTATTCCCTTCATGATTTCTTCACTGTTTTCTCTTTCTGGAACCCCAATAATTTGTATCTTCAACCTCCAGGACTAGTTCATTATCTTTTTGTTTGCCTTTTCTCTTAGCTTTTACATTGTTTTGGTTTTTAGAGATTCACTTAACTTTATACCAATTTTCAAGTACTCATAGATTCTCTGAATGTTTCTTTTTGTAGTGTCTTGTTCTTGTTTTCCTGAAGCTCTTAATAGTAGGTAGGTTTAAAGGGTTTTTTTGTTTGTTTTTAAGTTTCTCTAAGTACAATTAATTTTCTCAAACTAGTTTTCTTGTTGGTTTTGTTTTGTCTATGATTTTCATATTAGATGCTCTAGTGATCCCTCACACACATACAGGTGAGATAGAAGCTCAGTGCACCTCGGAAGGGATTGGCAACTCTGGACTTTTCTGTTGGGTAAATGTCTTGGCCATTTTGTCAGGGACTTTTCTATTGTCAGAATATTCAGATGTTTTCTTTTGGGCTAGATTCCATTCTCCTGCCTATAGACTATAAGCTTAGTTGCCAGTACATTGAAAACTAAGTAAGGGAAGAAAGCAGAGTCTCAGTTAATCTGTGATCCTTCATTTAATATTCTTGTTTCCAACATGGTTCTACTCTCAGTTGTGCCTGTCATTCTCTAGCCCAGGTCTCTGTCTTATATTTTGCAGAAATCATACCTTCAGTCTTCTCTTGGGGCAAAAAAATGCAGTCCTCCTGATACAAGGGATTGGAAAAGGTGTCCTTAAATAATCGCTGAACAATTTTCCCGTTTCCAGTTCTGTCTTCACCCCCACTTCCAGAAAAATGGAATCACTAATTCTGAAGCCTTTGGGGGAAAATATTGGGGTGTCCACTGCATTGTTTCTTCATTTGTATTTAAATAATCTTTCAACAACTTTTTTTATTTTCAACCCTACCCTCATGGCCATTTTTAGATGTATACAGAATCACTAATTCCTGAGCCTTGCAGGGACAGGAAGGTTCTGTGTGTTTAAGTGGCATTATTCCGTGGCTTTCTGCCACTGCCAATTTAGGACTCAACTTCCTCAAGTCTACCAAATCTTTTTCCATCCTATGGCTATCTAGCTTTCATTTTTTAAAACACTGTCTTCTCTCTCATTTCTAGGTCTTTGTATTTTTATATTATTAAAAGTCAATTTATTATAACTTTACTAAGTAAGCTTAAGAATAGGGAAGAGAATAAATGCATGTACTCATTTCTCCCATCTTCATCTGGGAATCAAGCAACTATTTCCCCAATCCAACCCTCTACCCCACATCCCAGCCCTCAACTTTATTGTGGTATAACTGACAACGAAAATTGTAAGATAATTAAAATGTCCATCCTGTGATTTGATATACATATGTATTGTGAGTGGATCCTTACCATTTACTTAATTAACTCATCCATCACCTCACATATTTATCTTTCTATTTTTTATTTTTTGGTTAAGGACATTTAAGTTCTGTTCTCTTAACAAATTTCCATGATTTAACACATTTTTAGAATTATGATCACATTTTATATTAGATCCTCAAAACTTATTCATCTTGTAGCTAAAGTTTTTAATCTTTTAACCAACCTTTCCCTATTTCCCCCACACCCAAGCTATCACTCTGTTTCTAGGAGTTTTACTCTTTTTTTTTAATTTATTTCACATATAAGTGATACTATACAGTATCTACCTGGTTTATTTCACTACCTAGTTTATTTCTCTACCTGGTTTATTTCACTTAGAGTAATGCCTTTCAGTTTCACCTATGTTGTTGCAAATGGCAAACATTTCTTCTTTCTCGTGGATAAATAATATTCCATTGAATATACATTGCACATATTCAACTATTGATGGAAACTTAGGTTTTTCCATATCTTGGCTGATAATTGCTTTTTGTTGATAGGGCCAAATAAACATAGTGTAAAGAGTTTAAATAAATGTGTCTTGCTTGTGCACTTTTTGTACGTGGGGCAGAATGAGAGGAAGTAATATACAGTGGTATTTGTTTCATAAGATTTGTCACAAGTTCATTAAGAGAGCACAAATAGCATTACTCTAGAGTTCTACATCATATATTTGAATATTATTTTCCAGTTCTCAAAGCATTTCCCTGTATTTATCCTCTTTGATCCCTGAAACAACTCTAAGAAGTAGACAAGGCAGGTGTTACTATTCCCATTTTACAAAAGAGGAAAACGAAACTCGTAGATATCAAATGACTTATCCAGAAGAGTCCAGGTTAGTGGCAGAGATGAGACTCCAACACAGGCCTTAAAATGCCAAATCTAATGCTTTTCTTTAGGTCTGTATTTTCTCCAAGTGGTAAATTTCTGCTTTTATAACTGACCCAGGATGGTGTACAACCCAATAGGATTGCATCCATCTCTCACATAGTCCCCAGACTGGCCCAGAATGGTCTGCATTGGTACCAACTGTGGAAGAGTAAATCGTCGTAAGATTTTTGGGCCCTAACTCCAAGAGATTCTGATTTATAAAGTCTGGAGTGTGGACCAAGAATCTAGATGTTTTAAATAGCTCCCTAGATGACACTGGCATGTAGCTTTATTGAAAACCACTGCCCTGAAGGGCCTGGAAGTGGTCCAGAGTTGTCCCCCGTCTTCAAGTTGGGGATAATCAAATGCCAGTTCCTGGAATGTAACAATTTAACTGTCTAGACAGCAGCCATCCCAGCATGCCACAGTCTAAACTAATAGTTTCCTCCTTTCTGCTCCTCCCTATGGCCCTTGACAGAGCTCACTTCTGTCCTCATTACCTGGCTGCCCACTCACATCATGGAGACTCCCTTGCCATTTCCCTCGGCTGCTCCATTTCAGCTTGTGGGACTTCAGGGACTTAACTTCCTGAAAAAATTAAATTGAAAAACTTCCTCCCAGATAACTTAGGACCTCCTGTGGAATTTAGCTCACTTAGGAGCCAGAGGGAGAGAATAATAAGCAGTTGTATTCATTATCTGATTGGTGGCCCCAGAAATGTTATTCCTGGCTCTCAGGTGGCCTTCTAGCAGAAAAATAAACCACAAATACCTTTAGGTTAAAAAGGGAGCATCTTGGCATCATAATGCAGGTCTATATATATATGAATGCACAGTAGTGCACAGTGGAAAAGGCCTCTTTTCTAGAACCTGAAGGTCCCTCAGCTGAAGAAGTTCAATGAATAGACAGGGAGAAAGAGAAGAGAGCTGTATAGCAAGAGCCCCAGCATTTTATTTACCACTGAGAATAAAAGAAGACTGAGCCATTTGGCAGGCCAATGGGAGAGACCAGCACACACATTTTAGCACGAGAGACAAGAGCCCTTCTGGGAAAGAACTGCCCTAAGGAAGGAGCTGATACATGAATTTGTAAACAATAACTCAGCCAGTGGAGGATAGAGATGACCAAGTGTTGTGTGAGGTCCTCACCAGATCAGACAGGCATGATCCAGAGTACCTACAAGTGCAGAGACCTCTTTTAAGAAGTTTCTTCTACATAAGTCACTTTTGCTTGTAACACAAAACCTCAAACTTCTAGTCAAGCAAATGGCCTGGAGTGGAAACCTAACCTGAGTTAGGTTTAAAGGAGAATGTGAGGAAGACTGGTACAAGAGCTCTCAAATAGGGAAGGAGCAATTAAGCCAGTCTGATTCTTCAAGAAACTTATTTAATCAAGGCAACAAATATTTTTTGAGTACCAACTATGTGTAGACATTTTATTGGATTTTTTAAAAAGATTTTATGTAATCCTTACACTCAGTGTGGGGTTCGAATTTACAATCCTGAGATCAAGAGTCTCATGCTCCACTGACTGAGGCAGCCAAGCATCCTGATGTTTCATCTTTAAATTGTATTGAATAAATGCTTCCACTGAATGTATTCTGTGCAAGACACTTAAATTTTATAAATATTAATTTATTTAATTCTCCTAACAACCCTGCAAATTAGCTGCTATTAACATGCCTATTTTTGAAGGTTAAAAAAAAAAATACCCTCAGTGCAGAGAAAGCCTAACTAACTTGCCCCTAGACTACACATTTTTTTGTGGTAGAGCCAGTCTTTTAAGTTCTGTGACTATATCAATAAACAAAAGAGACCAAAATTCATGTCCTCTTCAAATTTATTTCTACTAATGATTTTGGCCTGGACATTTGGAGAATCAGTGGTACTGGGAAGAGAAGCTAAAAAAATCAAATGGTGAAGGCCAGCAGCAAAAGCTATGTGGCAGCAGAGGCCTTAGAAGGAAGTGTGAGGATGTGGTTGTGGATGATAGAAAAAATTAAAGAGCAATGAATTCAGGGTGAGGGCCCATTGGAATAAAGAGATCCCAAGAACTCTCTCGTTCCCAGCCATGTTCGTATCCATGAGGCCCAGATTCTTGGCTGTGTTTTGCATTCTCTTAACTCTGCAATAAAACCATCACAACTGAAGTAATCTGAGTGGATCTTTGCTCTTCACATTTTTTTTTAAGATTTTATTTATTTATTTGACAGAGGGAGATCACAAGTAGACAGAGAGGCAGGCAGAGAGAGAGAGAGAGAGAGGGAAGCAGGCTCCCTGCCGAGCAGAGAGCCCGATGCGGGACTCGATCCCAGGACCCTGAGATCATGACCTGAGCCGAAGGCAGCGGCTTAACCCACTGAGCCAC